CTCTCTTACTCATATAACCCCTTTTCGGTATATTACATATCCATTGTTTGTGTCTATGTTTGTCTCTGTGTGTGTGTGTGTGTCGGTGTGTGTTTATTTTTGGATTTGTTTCTCTTATTTCTGGTTTAGCTTACATTTGAATGTTCAAAAAAATTAACTCTTCTTCATTTACTTGTTATTTTAGTTGTAATTGTTCTCTCTGCTTTCATTTTAAATACATTTCTTTAGATACAATAAGTGTGTGTGTGTGTTTTTTTTTCTTCTTTTTAATTTTACTTTTGCAAAGCTAGCAAAATATAAATTCTCGTTTGTTTAAGGAAAAAATGGAGCTCAAAGAAAATCGATTTTTTTTTGTTTAAATTGTTAAATGTGTGTGTTAAATAAATTTAGGCTAATCTATACAAGTTATTCATATTTATTTTTATTTGTATTAACATATGGCTCGCTGTAGCACTGCAATAAATTGAACAGAATCAAATAAAAAGATTCAAATTTGTTTGCATTTAACCAAATCCGTTGCAGCATCATTTTGATTGTGTGATTCATGTTTGAATTGTGAAGATCGATATTGGCTTGAAAAGAGTTTTTCTCCTTAGCAAGAAGAAAAATGTTCAAGTAAGGTTGAACAGTTCAGCCAATGAAACGGTGCACAATATCAAACAATCGTCACAGAACCGAGTCATTTAGAAGCAGCTCAGCACTTGTTCGTTTTATATAGATTACTATCGTTGAATTGAAGATAAATGAGTCGATAATGTTGAGCAGTAAAACAGCTTATTTTTTGACACAAAAAACGGTTTCTCCTGGATTAATAGTAAGAAGAGAAAAAAAAGTTAAGAAAAAGTCAATGCTTCTAGTTTGTTTGTGTATCAATTCGTCTTATGCAGTAAGTCCAACTGTTTTCATAACAACTTAATTAGTTCTTAACAAGCTTTGTACACAAACGAAGAAAGAAAAAGTGAAGAAAAGAAAAGAAATGCGGTGAATAAATGGACCTTCAGACCAAAATAAAATGCATCAACGTTGTTGTCAATGCCGACTCGTGGTCGGAACAGAAAAGAAAGGAGAAAGACTCATTTCCGTTGTTTTTTCTTCTTCATCAAAACAAACCATCATTTCAATCGTATTTCAGTAGCGGTTTGATCATATGGTTTCAAGGTTTTGCACTGGACCAAATTATGTGCTAATGTAAACAACAAAACCTCGGCCACTGCAATCGGTTTTTTCCATTCGGTTTGTTCTTTTTCATCAATTTAAATCACAATTTTTCTTTTAGAAACACGCATAAGCAGTAAAATTTTCACTTTATTTTTCATTTTGTTTAGATACCTGCATTCGTTACGCTTACATTTCTAATCGAGCTTACTAAACTGTGCATCTAGCATACCACATGTCTGTGTGTGGAGATGTATCACGAGAGAATGTACCATACTATTTTCCAATAATAAAGCATTTTTGTGTGTGTTTTTTTTATTGATATTTTGTGAAAACTTAAACGGAAACTCGGCATATGCTCACCATTTCATTTGTTTTTGTTTATTGGCCAGGACGCTCCTCAACAGTCGACTAGTTAAGTGAAGACATTCAAATCGGAAAAGTATATTCTTGCCGCAAGGTCTGAAGATGATCGAAATCAAATCGGAAAGAAAAAGAAAACCTAAAAGCATATCAAGCTTTGTGTAACGTTTCATGTTCAAATCTAATCGCGGATTTTTTTCAAAACAAAATGAATCACACAATCGAGAAAACAAAACGGAATGAGTGATTATGGTGAGAAAATTCTAAATGCAACTGACTCATTTCATAAATAAGTTCTTTTGTTTGTGAAACGAACGAATTGTGCGATACTTTTTAACTGATTGATTCAATTGTTCTTTTTTTTTACATAGCAATGTTTGCTGTTTATCTGCTTAAATGCGTGTCCTACAAATAAGCTCGCCGCACTCCGTTGAATTTACAACAAATTTTTTTTTTACATTGAATTTCTAGCTACGATATCGGTCATTATCTAAAAGCATTCATCACTTCTTCTCTCTTTTTTTTTTCGTATTTTCAGTTTGGATTTCTGGGTGGACGTGAACCGGCGTCACATTTCACTTGAAGTCACCTTGAACACGTGCGCATTTGTGTCCGACTGGTGTGTCGAGCCAAGAGGTGAAATGAACATGCATGTCGCCGGCGCTACCTAATTAAATCTCCTATAAAAATGAGTCTATTCTGAAAAAGAAAAAAAAAGAACACAACAAAAAGCATGTCTGAGTAGCTGGACCAAGTCGAAACTACTTATCAGTTAAGAAATTTTGTTGTTGTTGCGTAAATGAAGGCTGATTTCCTTTTTATTCTCCTCTCACTTTTCTATTAGGCAAATAAATGTTTTTTTTTGTTTTATTATTCTCTGTTATTTTGGCAACTAAACACTAACTGGTTCGATTTAAGTGTATCGAAGGTCCGTTTTTGTTTGTGATTCTATATGTATGTGCTTCGTGTGTTTTTGTTGTTGTTGTTGTTGTTTCGAGCCAACTTATCTCGAACTAAAAAGCTGAGTACCTATGAGTCATTAAATCTACGTATAATTCATACAATTTTCTTTATGTTTGTTTCATTGTGTTTTTAGTTAAATCGGCGGGTATGCATCCGTGTGATGTCTCATCGTAATATTCACTATGTTACTCTTGAATAGATTCAAGTGATTTATTATTTTTTTGTTCATTTATTTCTTTTTTTGATGAATTATGATACCTTTTTTCAAGTTTGTTGTACATATTCTACAATTAACTACATTCTATAAATGCATATGCTAGTGTGTGTGTGTGTTGGGTGGCTTTCTTTCATCTTTTAACTGATTTTACGTTTGCCCTTCAGTCAGAGGCGTATTCTCCGTTGGTAAGAATATGATGTGGTGTGGGTGGGTGGAACGGTGAATATTTATAAAATGCTTTTGATATAGTGAGATGAATTTTCGGAATTAATGTTTAACCGGATTATCGAAAAATCTGGACTTTTACATGTACTCAATCATCGTCTGACTGAAAAAATTCATGCACATTCATGGATGAAAGATGAAATTGGGACATTGGGTGTTCATTTCATTTCGACTGTATGGTGGACGTATTTCAAAGATTATATTCAGTAGATGCCACCTGACGGTATTTCAACATTTTTCCAACCAACAAAAGCATTTAAAATTCATCAAGTGTTCGCAAGCAACCCATTTTGTTGCTGAAACGAATCGAAACAAGAACTAGAAACCTTGGATTATTTTACGAATTTGCGACCATTTCATTTGTTTAGAAATGTTAAATATTCAAAGGATTCTCCACTCTTTCCCTCTATATATTTACATGCACACACACACACACACACCAAAGAGCTCTTGAAAACCACTCTCTTGATGAAAGAGATACACGGCAATGGGTTTGGCAAATCCCGAGCGCATTCTTCAAATACGGACGCCTTTGTTTGTCGTAAATAATCAAATTATAAGTGCAAGTGCATATGCTTATTATAAAAATGTGCGTCTTATCGACGTGAAAATTGTTGAATAGACGAAATTCGAAAATTTGAAAACTGAAAAGAAACATCGACATCGTCGGTGGAAAATTAAGATGTTAGAAAGGTGTTCAAGGGAACATATTTCGCTGCAATACATGTTCCATAATCCAATCTCAAAATTTCGATTGGACCGCTTTTCATGGCTATCTTCTCTTCCCTGTCTGTCTGATCGTCACAACGAGACACATCTGTACAACGTGCGTGACATAGTTGCGTTTATATATAGATTTAGAGTTGGTTGTTTGTTGGTGAGATTACTATATGTTCAGTGCAAATTCGGTTGTTTACGTTTAGAGTGACATTTAATCGACTTTAATTGGTTATGTTTGGGTTTTGATGTGTGTGTTTATCCCTTTAAAATTAGTCTCTTTTTTTCTTCTTTGTGTTTATTTTTATGTTTAATATCAGTTTATTACATGCTATTTGTTGCGACTTTTAAAACGGTTTCTCATTTAATTTTTTTTTGTTATAACATTCAAATCACAGCCCATTTGTTGAATTGTTTCTACAACATTAGCCACATTAAGAATTTTATAATTTATTTTAGTTAGAGTTTATGTTATTATTATTTTTCTTTTGTATGTGTGTGTGTGTGAGTGTGTTATTAATGCGCATCTCTCTTGTTTTGTTCGTTGCTAACACGCTGGTGGATAGTCGGTCGGTGTATTTTTTTCTTTAATTTAGGTGTGTGATTTCAGACTCAGATGGTTTAGCTTGTGGTTAGTAATATGTGATAAGTTTAGATTACAGACCCAAAAATGGTGGAATTTTTTGATTTAAACATGAAGAAAAAGAAGGACATTCATCCAATGAAACGGATTGTTTTGCAGCGAAATAGTTCCTCTTTGTTTTTCCGATTCGAAATGATATTGTAGTTTAGTAACATAGGTAGAAAAAAATGTCAATTATCGGCCAAAAAATCCTATTCCCTTGACTTTAACTAGTTGTTTTTTTTTTCATCTATTCGATCTCTCAAAATACCTACAGCCCTATACAATGTAAGCAACAATTTCAATTGAAACTAAGAACAAGAGAGAATCGAAAAACCATAATCTGAGTATATTGAGCCCTAAAAGCGCGAAACAAAATTAACGACACTTTGATCGCGTGAAAACAAGGAAAAAATATGTAGTATTATCGTAGATATTCCAAGAAAAGGAGAAAAAAAAAAACAAAATTAAAACGAAGAAGAAGAAGAAGTATCAAGTAAGTAAGAAATTATTCAATGTTGTCTATACACAGTAAATGCATTCCTTACTAGATGTCCTTAATCAATATCAATTATTTATAGATAATTCAAAATCGTTTATTTAGTTCATAATGTGCATAATATATATATAATTTATATATAAATATATCGATTTTCTTTAGTTGTTTTATTTTAATTTTTTTGTTTGTTTTGCTAACTCCTAAAATAGATTGATTATGATTTTGTGTGTGTGTGTGTGTTTTTTTTTTTGGTTTACTTTAATTACTCATCTTCATCGTCTACTAAACTACATCGTCTTTTTGTGTTCTCATTTGTTCTTCTCATTTTATAGTCAAAAACTAAGTTTGCTGCTGCTGCTTCTGCTGCTCTTACTGCTGATGCTGCGCTGTGCCATTTTTTTTTGTTTCTTTCTTTGCAAACGCCTAATTTATGTCAACTATTCAATAATGAGTATGTATATATATGTTGTGAGAGAGAGTGTGTGTGTGTGTTTGTTTATTGTTTAATAGCTAAATTAATAATTCAATTTGTTTGTTTCTTTATGTCATTATTGTTATCATCATCAATGAGATGGGTTTTTTTTCTTCTATTGTGTCTGTGTGTTGTCAATCGTTAATAAGTAGTTGGTTTTTGTTGTTGTTGTTTGGTTTGTTTAAATTTTAATTTTTGACTAGAATAATAAATTGTTTAAATAAATCGTTAATTATTTCGCTTCAAGTTGAACCGTTAAATTTATTCAATTTTTTTCCTCTTGTTAAATCTAATTATTAATTTTTGGCGCATCTTAGCTGTAGATTATTAAAAATTACATTTGGTTTTTTTTTGTTGTTTGTTGTATTTTGTTTTCACCGTTTATTCTTCCTCATTATTTTTTTTTATCATTTTATTTATTTCCTTGGTATTCTAGTTAATAAAATATACCATAAATATTTTATGCTCATAAATGTATATATATTTTCATGTAATATGTATAATGTATAATCTAAAAAAGGCGAAACGAATTTCCTATGCAGTATTTTACTCCATATTTTTTGTTTGTTTAAATTTATTTACTTTTACCTTTAATTTTCTCATCTCTAAGTATTTTTTTTTCAATTAGCTGCTAAACCAAGGATACCTTTTTTCTGCTGTGTGTGTGTGTGTATGTGTTTGTGTGTGGCATGTGGAAGTGTATCTGCATAATATATTTATATATTTATAATGTACTCGGTATTTCTCTCAAAGTTAATTTTGATGAATGCGGTGAATGTGTTTCATTTTGGGAAATATTCCGAAGCAAAATGTTTGTCTATTGTTTTTTTTCTTCTCAAACGGGAGGCAGGGGAAATCCGTCAAATTCAATCAAAAAGTGCTATTTCAACTCAACAAATTGTTCACACATTTTAAGTGCTGTTGCGGTTGAAATCGGACCAAATTTTTTTTTTCTAATGAAAAACAAAAACTGAAGAATGGTTGAAATGTAAAACTTGATTGATGTGGTATCGATAGAAATCGCATGTTTCAAATAACATTTCTATCGGTACGTGTGTATGCGTGTGTGTAAGTGTGTCAATTTTTTTTCTCGTATGTATTGTCTGATGCACATCATTGATTTACACCAGAGGTGGACAAGAATGCCACAAACTTAACGCCAACCCTCCATACCCAACCACATTTCAACCGCAATATCATTCGAAATGCAAGTTTTTGTTTGTTTGTCAGATGGTTGTGTGTATCGTAATGACTTGTCCATGACACTTTTGCCCACCTTTGATTTACACAAAAAAAACAAAAGCGAATCCAAATTTACGTGAACAATTAAACGGGAAAGAAATCGAAAGTGAAAAATAAACGAACTTCTGATTTCATACAACTTAATTCAATTTTCCGATTCGAAGGAATTACAACTGAAAGTAAACGAAAATGGACGTGTTTCAATTTTGAATGAGATTCGGTTTTTAGGATTAGGATTGGACAATTCCGACAAATCCAAATATGCAAATAAACAATGCCTGCTAGCAACGAATGAATGCGCCGCGGTAGTAACAACTGTAAACACTATACACGGTGATCGATATAGGAGTTCGTGTGTTATTTTTCGTTTAACTTCTTACTAAATTGGACAAGCGCTGGTGTCAAATGTCAAAAAAATAAGGGTCCAGCTAGCAGGCATTGCAAATAAATGTAGCATTATTGAGGAAAAATCTCGTACTTCAATCCGAATGAAATTGTCTCTCTCTATTTTATTATGACTATGGTTCTCGTTGGCCGAATATACTTTTGGGTTTTTTTCTCTCGCCTTTTTTTCATCTAAATCAAATAAACAATGCGATTTGATTAATTCTAATAGCGTTTTTTTTGGTAAACAGTCCAAATAAGAGAAAAAAAAAACCACCAATGAATGGATCATTTTTTTAGGTGGTTGTTGTTGTTGTCTCTTTTAAAATTATGTCTATCTAGAAAATAAGTCTAAATGATTATTATTCATCTCATTTGCCTCTTCGATTATTTTTTTTCATGAGTATTTTCTTTATGTAAGTTTATAGCAATTGTTAATGCAATTATAATGTCTAGCATTTTTATGTCCAGTATTGTGGGTATATTTTATCAAATATACTTATGTCGATTTGATCAGTTCACGTTTGGTGTGTATGTGTATTACGAAACGTTTCGATAGAGAGAGAGAGAGAGGAAACAAAACCCAATGCAGACAATGTGTTGTTTGAGTTTGTTCGGTTTTTTGTTTTGTTTGTGGGGTCGGTGGAGCGCAGTAGTCACAGCACCAGGTTTCCAATTAAAATTAGTTCGAAACAATTATTTGACCGAACGGTTTTTTTTTCCCTCATCAAATTATCATATCGTAATAACATATCGAACTTGGCTCTCAACGTCGAAAATCAATGTGTAATAAATGAATGCTTATGAATGAAACTGCTCGAAATAGGCGAGTAAATTGAATCAATTTTTGTCGGTGTTTTCCCGTCAATTATTCTCAAGAAAAATGATTTTGTTTGTGATTTTACGATATTTTGTCGTATTGATTTTTTTTTTCTTCGTTTATGGCACAGGATTCATTTTGTTTTGTTTTGTTTCTTTTTTTTTCAAATCCCTAGCAGGAGAAAACTAAAGGAAATAAAGCATTTGGAATAACAATGTGGAAACATCACTGCGTACTTGCTGATATGGTTTTCCATGAATGCAACAAACTAGTCTAAATTTTTGGTTATTTTCATTTTCTTCTTTAAAATTAAACGCACGGATTCGATGAGTTACAAATCAGAGATAATTGTGTTTTAGTCTGATGGATGGTGGATGATTGTGAGAATCAATTCATTTCAAATGTATTGTAACATTTGATTGGTTTTGACAAAAGAAATTCATTTCCATGTATCGTATGAGTGAGAAAAACCACAGTGGATAAAATACCATTTTGCAGCCGATCTTATGTTTGCAAGCATTTCTGTTTGCAAATATTTTGTTGTCTTGTTTCTTTGTTCATTCCATCGTCTCTAAATTTAAATTGTTTCTTTTTGTCAATTTTAATTTTTCTATCAATTTCTTTTATAACATTTTTTTTTTCATTTTGTTATTGTGTAGTTCAAATCTAATGGATGTGATATTCATTTTCTTTCTCTGCATGTTTGTGTGTGTTAGTGTGTGTGTATAATAAGTTAAGTTTCAAAAGTGTCAGTGATTTTCGGAAATATGATTTTCTCGCAAAAAAATACGTCTTTTGTTTTAGATTGTTATGTTTTTGTTTGTTTATAAGTTATGTATCGCATAAGGATATAAATAATTTATTGGTTATTGAGAAGAGATTTTTGTTTGTGTCTGCGTCACCACATCTTAATTTAATTGAAATGCATAAAAATGTATGTTGTCTCTCTGTCTGTGTATGTTAATGTGTTTTACATTTTTGTTTTTTGGTTGTTGTTTAGGTTGACGTGTTATGTCCGGTGTATCCGTTTGTCTATTGATAAAATGAGCTAATTTTGGTATCGCCAAAGATAATCGCAATAATGTACAACAGCGATTGCTTGCTCGCTCAGTAACGGGGTACAAACGATTGACATGCGCATGTGTGTGTGTTTATTTGTTGCAAATTTGGCGCCCATCTAATATGCGTATAATTTTGATTTGATATATTTAACCGACGTTGAGGCAGAGAAAGAATCGAAGTTGAATGATTAGTTTGTTTTTTGGTTGGTTTTGTGTTGGTTACAGAAAATCAAAGAATAAGCATCCTTTTTTACTTTTGTTATCATTCGTTTATATAACTGAGTGTTATCTGTTGATTATTGGATTTAATTTAGCTTATGGTTCAGAGCTTCATCTGGAAAGAGTCGAAAGAATGGACGAAAAAAAAAGAACAAATGAATTTAAATAAATTATCCGACCGATTGGGTTTGTTTTGATTTCAAATCGTATTTTAACGCTTAAACTAACTATAAATTGAATTCGATGGATGGATCGCGATTGATTAGCATCCCATTCACAATTCCTGATTTTTATCAAAGTTAACTGACTAGATCGAAATACTACAGAGACATTTAAGTTTACACTGCTAATGAGACACGTAAATCAGTGCCAAAATATCATGTTGGAAATGAGCTCAGTATGGAATACCATGACACAGAGAAAAGAAATCAACTTCTACTGAACTCACTCAACACGAACAATAAACTTAGGCATTGTGGGTGTGTGTGCATAGCAGGTCAACTGCTATCGAAAAAGTGTAGAAAAAAACGTGAAAGCAAAAAAGAAGGAAAAATCAAGTGCTTTTACTCACCAACTGCTGCCATATTGTTGTGATTCTAATCCTTATGTTAATAGGGTCGGCTTGCATCTTTTGGTCGTTTCAGCTGAACTTTCAGTCTTTTCATTCCAATCTGAAAACCATTCATAGCCTGAATAGCTGCTTGAGCACTTGCCGGATTGTCAAACGACACAAAACCTATACAAAGGCAAACGCGACACAGCACAGCATCAACAAACCGGTTATGTTAGCCAGTGATGAAGCGACATGGTTTGTCGTAAACACCACCGCCGCCGAAAAAAAAGAGAAGAACGAGCACATCGAGTGAGAGAACAGCGTCGATTGTGTATTAAAATAAAGTGCATCATCACGACCATCGATGGGGCAAAAATGAAAGTTGAAAGGCATATTTTCCAGTTGCAAGCACATCCCCGGATGATTGCCATAAAATTGCGAACACCAAGAACACAAAAAAAGAGAAGAAAAAACAACAGCGTTGAGAATTAATTTAGTTTTACCGTGTGCACTTTTCATGAAATGCAGAAAGAGCCGAGCTTAAGAGAGGCGACAAACTAAAATGGAAAATTAACTTTGAAGACACACCGGCCACTCAAATGACTAGATAAAACTTAAACACAAAAATACCCGAAAAATAAAACGCTGCACAAAATGCAAATTAACACAAAACAAAGAGAGCGACAGGAAAAAAAAACTATCCGCTTGGAAGTTTAAACGATTTTACTTATAAAGGAAAATGAGAAAAAAAGTACCTAACTTGAAATTTCATTCAAAAATGCATTCGAATAAATGAGAGCGGAAAAAATGGAGTGTCAACACGTGAGAAATGAAAATGATGTACTCACCAAAACATTTGCTTTGATTTGTTGCCCGATCGATGAATACTTTGGAACTGATAACATTACCGAACGGAAGGAACATTTGCATTAGTTCTGCGTCACCAAATTCTTGCGGCAGATGATAGATAAACAAATTGCAGCCTTCTGGCCCAGAAATCGAGCATCCTGGGAACATCAAAAAGTCTTTAAAGAACATTAAAGGATTCCGTCAATAGGTACAACATTTGGATAGCATTTTTTATTGTTTTGATTGATTTTTGTTTTGTTTGTTTGTTAGTTTTCTAGGATTTATTGTTAGCCATTTTTTTTTTTGGTCACTTCTTCTTTACTCAAAACGCTTGATCTAAATTGTTTGCTAATAAAAACGGATAAAATGCTTGAATTCCGAGAAATGTGCTTTGAGTTTTTGAAAAAATATGGTTTTTTTTGCATGAGTTTAAAAAAATCTATAAATTGTTTATTTAATAACGAAAACTCACAACGAAAAAAACTATGTAGTTTTCAACTCAAACTGAAGTAAACGAAAAAAAAGAAAAGTTTAATTGAAAATATCTATGAAAAACACAAAAAAAAGTTTCCATGAAACTGTTTCACTTGACATGTTTCAGCAACACCAATCTCGAAAAGTTTGTCATTCAAAGCATATTTCTCAATATCGTCAGCGTTTTCATCACCAAAAAAATTCAACTAATCGAACCAATGAATCTAAGAAGAAGCTTTTCTATATTTGTAATATTGTGAAGCAGAGTATACATGTATAAATTGATCAAAGTTTGGCCCTTTTTTTGGTTTTCATGTTGAAGAAAAAAAATGCTCACAAAATATTGTTCTTTCATGGTAATATTAAAGGCGATAAAAAATATTATAGGATTTTTGTTTGTTTGTTTGTTTCATCGTTTGTTTTTGTTTTCTTATTTAAATTCCACAAACTACATTCAATTTGTGTCAGTTTTCATGTTAAACAAAATTGGAAAAACAATCAAAAAACAGTTGGACAAAATGGTTCATAACATTATCGGATTAAATAGAAACAAAACGGGATAGAAAAATGGAAGAAAAATACAGCGAGCAACAACATCTCAAGATTTAGCAATAAATATGGTTACGTTCAGTATTATTGCGAGTATCACATTGAAGAATTTACATCGATTTGTAGTTTGAAAGAAAGAAAAAAGTTGAAACCGAACCAAAAATGAGGAACAAAAGCGAAATTTTCCGGGTGGCGGTCATAATGCCTCGGACAGACAGCATAGTCCAATGTAATAGAGAACATTGCCTGTCTATCCGTCGCGTTATGACCACCACCTAATTCAAAACGAAAAATGAAAAACGCAACAGCATGAATCAAATGAAAAGTGATAACAGAAATCAGAAAATTTGGCATGAAATTAAAATGTAAAACAAAAGTCTAGTAGAAAAAAAAGAATAATCGAACAATAATTATGTATATACGGGTAATTTTTGTAAATATTAAACACCAAGACAAACAACATTAAACATACACATGTAGCATTCATAGTTAAATGAACCGGATTTAGCGGACGATTTCGTTGAAATTCCAAACAAATTACGAGCAACAGTTCGGTCTTTTTTTTCAAATCATTTGTTATTTAGATAGAACAAGGTAAGAAAAAACAAGGAATGTGTGTGTGTAAGAAAGAGAGAATGGTGAAAGAGTAGACATCGAAGTCGAGAGTCAAAATTTGAATTTAAAAAAGGTCAATTTGACAAGGATTGAATGAAAAAATGTAGATTTGGTTGGAATTACATCACCAAAAAAAAACGTCAGAGCCATGGCAAGAGTTCAACTGATAAAAAAGCAAACGAAAGTTTCGATAGTTTGTGAGGAGAAATTGAAAGAGAGAGAGAGAGAGAGAGAGAGAGAGAGAGAGAGAGAGAGAGAGGGAGGGAGAGAAAGAGATAGAAAGACATAGTAAAGTGGCGTGAAAGGGTGGTTGCCACAAACGGTTTTTCTTCCAACGGAAAACAGCGACAGAAAAGTAGAGAACCAAAAACCGAAAGGACAACAAAAAAATTACATCTGCCGTAAATCGTTTTCATTACGAGCAACACACAGCAGCAGCAGCAGCAACCACATACACACACTGGCCGGTCGCAATACGCAAACTAGTGCATTTGATCACATGACGAAGCGAAAGTGTAAAATTTCGGGCGAAACCACGAAAATTGTGGCAAGATGAGAAGCAGCGACGAGAGACAGCGAACAAAATTGAAAAGATAAAAAGTGGGAAAAAAAGCACGCGCTTCATTTTTATCGAACGAAAATTTGAATCGGTGCACTCACACCATCATTCAGTTTGTGCCTCTTCCGATGGAATAACACAAAAGCAGAAAAATAGGGAAAAAAAACATCCAAATAGACAAAGTGGCGAAGTGAGAAGCAGCTGGCTCAGAATAAAATCCAGACTGTTTGAACGTAATTGACTTTGAGTAGATATTTTATTGAATTTCGCCAATTTGGAATTGAGCATCGCGCGCACATACAATACCAACAAAGCTCTCTCTTTCTCTCTCGCTGTGTATAAAAACGGCAGACTTCATAAAAAAAACGAGAACGAGTATGCCAACGAGTCGTATGTGGCGAAAAAGAGAGAGTGATCGAAAGACAAAAAGAGATTTTGAATCGAAAGCTTACGTTGAACTATGTTCGATGAGGATTTTGTACAGAAAAAAAAAATGTTTTTCGCTCTTTCGCTTTATATCCGCCTCAATTTCGGATTCAATTGTTCGACATCATCTTGTTGTTGCTGCTGCTATTATTATCGTTTTTTCTCTCTCTCTCTCTCTCTCTCTCTCTCTCGTCTTTCTGTCTCACCCGATGCCCGTTAGTCCTCCGCAGGCTTGTTCAACAAATATTGTTGTGATGTTTTATCTTTCTGTCTTGGTGGTGCTGGGGTGTTTGCTTAATGCACATTTTTATCTATTGTTTATCTCACTTTGACTTTGTGCTCGCAAAATGTTCGTGCTGTTGTGTGTTCGGCTTGATTCTCTTATCCTTAGTAATTTCATAAAGCAATTCTCAAACAAGCTGCAATGCCAACATTGAATATATTTTGCTATTAACATGCGCAATTTCTGTTCATAGATTTGAGACAGAGAGGGAGAGAGAGAGAGACGGAGTGGATGAGAATATCGAGGCGAAATTGTGTGCAATGAGGTTGAGTCACTTTTTTATGCTTTATCGCAGCATTTCTTTGCTGCTGTGTGCAGCGAAGTTGATTTTCGTTGAACAGAGTGCTGTAAGTGCAGCATAGTTTTTATTGACCAGCTCAGAGAAGAGAAAAAAAAACAAAATGTTGACAGCAAAAAAGCGGCATCAAATGAGAATATGGATGAAAGAAGAACGGGAATTTTCATCGATTGATTGTGTATCAAACGGGATCGAAGTTAGTTTGTGAATGATTGAGAACGACGACAACAGGAGCGGTGGTGTACAAGTGGTTATGGTGGTGGTAGAATAACAACAAATCCGTTGCAAGAAACGTGTTCGCGTTCAGTATTAAATTGTACATTTGCACACCACATTGATTTTGCGATGCCCACCACTTTCATGATCCACAGCTCTCTGCCACCGTACCTACGTCAATTTGAACAAGAGCCGAAATTGTTTTTCTGCCGCTTGAATAATGCATGTAGTGTGCTGTGCTGTGTGCATGATTGGCCATATTCAATTAAAAGAATTTAAAAAAAAATGAAGAAGAATGCAATAAACCTTGGCCTGATGTTTCGCAGTGGATGTATGTGTGTTCTAACATACGATGTCATGAATTCGCAAATAATAAATGTAACAGTAATCCAACCGAAAAGAAATTAATGGAAATTTATGTAGGGATTCAACGCAATGGAGCGGGTTTACATTTGAGAATCATTATGGTTTTGTTTTGATTTTTTATTTATTCCTCTCGTTTGAACTGATCGAAAGCTTCAAGAGCTTCTTGCGTATGTATTTTGGTTGCGTGTAGGTGTGTTTTTTTGTTTGTTTTTTTTTTTTTTTTTGTTTTTTAATTTTATGTGAGTTGACGTTTTGTTGTTCTGTTATCAGGCGTTTTTGATAGGGTTCATTTGATTAAACTTACCTTCTCGTTGAGATGGTGCAACTGCAGCCAATGGTTGTGGAATTACTTGTGGAAACTGTCCGTATACGGCAGGATAAGCTGCGTTCAAATTGTTTTGGTATTAAAAAAAAAAAAAAATACAAAAGTACATCAACGGACATCTAACAATAATTTTGTGATTTCAGGGATTTGGTTGTTTTTTTTTTTGTTTGTGTTTTGCTTTGTTGTTGGATTGGGTTCTATATGTATTGCCGTTTTCAATTTCAGACACGTATTTGATTTTCATTAGTTTTGTGTTTGGCTACGATGCAACTACTTTATAATTAGTCTTGCGATGACTGTTCACAATTTGCACAACTTCCCGACGGATGCGGATCAATTAATTTGTCGGCGCGATAAAACGACAGACAGAAACATTTCAAGACTTTTTTTTCGTCTCAATAGAAAGAAAAAAAAATTAAAGTCAACAAAATGTTTGTGAAATGATTTTTTTTTCAAAAAAATGGCATGCTCACGCAACACTCAAAACACGAGAAAGAAGATGTAATATGAGGGGGAGATGCCAGCGATAGGTTTTCGCTTGAGAATATATTGAATGACAAAACAGAAACGTGACCAATTCACATATTTTTCGAAAATACAAGAAAAAGGAGAAATTATTCCGAGAACAAACTGAGAACAAAATCATTTCGAAAAAGAAAAGTCCAAACTAACCCGAAGCCGTACAACACCGATAGCAGTTTGCTTAACTCGACTATAACGGTAGTTTGTTAACGGGAACTTTTTCACTCTTTCAAATATGCACTCAATTCAGAGTACATTTATCCAGTGACTTTCAATTATGTGCTCATTCAGTTGGCTATTTCATTTCGAAGTTGTGCTTTTAGACCAAAAGAACCAAATGGAACCCATTGAAATGGCACGTTTTTCTTTTCTCCCATTTTGATTTTATATACATATATAAAATTCGTCTTTGCTTCCCCTTTTTTTCGTTGTCTTCACTTTTTCTTTTCAATTTACCGAAAAACCAAAGTGTAAATGAAATTGCAGGATAAAATGTGGGAAAATGGTTGGAAATATCATTTGCAAACAGAAAAGTGTAATGACAAAGAATGGAAAGTCAGTAGACGGTAAACCGAAAGGCAAACTACCGAGAAAAAAAGACGACAATAGCAATGGCCTTGGCAAAATAGTGGGGAAGACGATGGTAGAGGATGACGGTGGCAGTATAGCAAAGGGAGCGATTTTGTAAAAACTTGCCATTACGAAATGACTTTTCAAGAATCTATTGGCCGGGCTTAAAGTGAATGCAGCAGTTTTATGGTGATCACTAAAAATGTTTCGCTTCTATTTATGCACATTAAATTCAGTTCCGGTATTGTGGTATTTTCTCGCTCTCTCTTTTTTTTCTGACGGTCGTCGCAAAATCGGAGTTTCGACTAAACTCGTTCTAGCGGCAATTCTTATCACATCGACTATGCGACTGTGAGATAGAGATAGAAACAGAGGCATACTCTTCTTTCTCCCGGACAATCCTTTTGCCATTCTTAACATTTGGCTAATTTGCCGTCCAACCAATTGTTGTTTGATACTGTGTCGGATGGCTAAATGGTGCCACAAAAGTGGAGCTTTGGGACGGTCGATTTTCGTTTTGTTTTGCATGGAATGAGCAATGATTTTGAATCGATTGTAAAAATGGCCAAGTTTACGATTCCGATTCGAAATGTATGGTCTCGCCATAGAGCATTTCGAGAAAAAAGAACTTAATAGATCGTTTACTTAAATGCATAAGCACACTGTGATATGCCATATCCAGTCAGTATCCAGCATCAAACATCCAACACATGTTAAAGTCAAGTTGAGCTGCAGTCTCAGTTTTAGCTTGTAATATATGTTCCATTAAGTCCACACACACACACACAAACATCTCTCTGTCTCGCCCGCTCCTGGCGAATGAATGAGCGTAAAAGCAGGCAAACGTTTGAACAAACGAACGAACGTACCAACGAATGGATGAATGAATGAATGGGTGACTGTTCCATTCAAGCATTCAACACACGAAATGTGATCTCTATCGAAGCAACGACATAACCGTGTGTATAATATGGCATACAATAATTATAGTCATGATGGTTAATGGACCACATTAAGATTAAAGAGAGCAATTAAATTAAACTGCAAACTGCACTATACGAACGGCTAATGAGGTAGATATCCCATTCCATGTGACTTTAGCCGGGTTCACCTCGTTGGCATGTATTGAGAAAGTAGCGAGTCGGTTCCTTATTTGTGAATGCATGAACCCGAACTTATCGACAAATGAAGAAGAAAAAAAACATCATCAACCACCACCAGTAGCAGTAGTAATACTGGATTGGCTTGGCTTGGCTTGGCTTGGCTTGGCTGGAGAGTGCCATGGGGCTCATACGTCGGCGATGGAAGCCAAAGCATCATTGCAAACTCTGTATTGCATTTCACAATATTGATAAACAACATAGAGCAAAAACACCAGCAGCGGACGCAAACTCGACGAAGGAAAAAAAAATCTTGCCAGTCACTTTTGTTTGAAGGGAAATGGAAATGCAATTTCCAAGTAATTTCACATGTTTAGCTGTATATTTTGATACTCGCTAATACCAAAATACGTAGACCGATTGGAATGGCAATGAATTTAAGTGCGATCGACGGTTCTTTCTCTCCACTTTCTTTTCTTTCGTTTCGCCATTAGCGGTTGTAAAATTTTCACAACTATTCAAGTTGGCTGTTTGGCTCACAACTTTTATGGTTAAATGAATCAAATCGGTTGAATTATTTCGTCCATCGAATACATTTCACATGTTCAACAAGCTTTTCAGCGGGTCTGAGTTTTTTTTCTTTGTTTCGTCGATTTTGCGAGACTGAAATTGAAGCAGTGCTTGAAGTGTGTCCGGTCATCTTCATTCAAAAATCAATTGAGTTATTTGGTGTGCGCGCTCAATTACACACAGCACATGGAAAAGTCGTTAAAATGGCTGATGATGGATTTTTGTATATATGGACGTGATAAACCGTTGCTAGGCACACCTAATTGAAAAAAAATGCGCACATTATCAACACAAACAATGCATACTTGTAGATTGTTCGTATCTTATTGAATTAACACAAGCACATTCAAGGCGAACGACGTCCGCTTTGTTCAACGGATGTAGTGCATCAACAGTGTTGATACGAGCTCATTAAAATTTCAATTGCTACCTCTCTCTCTCTCTCTCTCTCTCTCTCTCGTTATCATAATATCAAATACGGGAAAAATGGTGAATAGCAAGCACAAACCGAGAAAGAGAAAAAAAACTGTCTTGTCATCGACGGCATGACATGCAAAAATCGACGCATCATTTTCATCTAAAGCGATATTTTGATACAGTTGGTTGTATGTGCGCTTGGCGTTAGTTTTCTTGTTTTGATAATTTTCATTCACTTTACGGCATTGAAAAATGATTTGATGGCTGGTTTTATCAAGTTAATTTTCCATCCAAGTGGCCGTGAGCGAGCGAGAGAGAGAGAGAGAGAGAGAGAGAGAGAGAGAGAGAGAGAGAGAG